TATAGGTACTCTTCTATGTCCAAAATACATATGGGAAACTTTCTTCCAAAAGAGCAATTCAATCTATATTGCCTAGCTTGATAAATGATACCATTAGCCACATGGTCACCCAAGCCATAAACTTGGGATTCATTTGAAATGTCACTTTCTCCTTCACTACCCACCCTTAATTCCCATGAATACTGAGCCCACATGGTGTTCATCAGCAAATCCACAGTTACACCCTCTAAATATCTCAAACCTATGCTTGCTTCTACAACCCTCGACCCTGTCATGGTATAGAACTTCATCACAGTTTGATTCATTTCATCATTTCCATACTACTTTCAGCATCAGACCTGCTCAGTATGTAAATTTCACTGCTAGTTTCTCTCCCTAAACACTGCAGGGTTCCCCCTTCACCCTCAGAATGAAGGTAAAGCTCCTCAGCCTGGCCACACCACCTTTCTGTATGAGTCCTACCTTGTATTCTGCCACAATGCTCCTGTTCTTGGTTCAAATGAAATATCTTGCTATCTCCCAGAGAACTCACACCTTTTTGGACCTCTTTCCCTAAGGATATCCTCTTGAAAAGCCCTTTTGTTTTCCTTCTATACTACTCTTTTAAGTGACAAGAAAGCCTAGTGGGAAAGCATATGAACTTTGGGGCCAAGAAAATCTGATATCCTATCCAAGATGAGCTTTTCCCCTTAACTCTCAAAATATTTAAGAAGATTTATTTATTTATGCATACAAAAACTGAGGCTTGTAGGCCAGAGGGGTGGGGGTGGGAGTGAGAGAACTCACCAGAGAGAGAGTGGAGGAGCAGAACAGGCGGATCCACTGAAATACTTTGTTGAGGGGAGCAGTGGGTTTTTATCATTAGGATTGCTATTAGAATCAAATCAAATATTTGTTGAATAGATGAATGAAAGACATGTACACTTGGCTCATACTACCTGTCAGCAACATCTAGGAATTGCAAATGAAACAGTGAAGACAACAGTTGAAACCCCAACCCTAAGGAATCTTATATTCTGTCTTGAATATAAAAAGTAAGCAAAAGATTACTACTACTATTACTTGGAGACAATTCACAGACCTGCTTCCCAATTTCTATTTTAAATTAAGTGCTCATTCTCTATGGTCTTATATCACTCTACATAATTACTATATTATGTTGTATCATAATTACCAGTATTTTATCTTTACTAATCACAATCCAATGAGTTCTTCAAGGACAAAGTCTGGTACTGTCCTTTTTGTTTTACCAGTTCTAGTACACAAGAAATTCAGCTCCAAGTATCAAGTAAATGAATGAACACTTTAAGATGCCTAAATTTTTCTTAAAAATATATGTTCCCCACGGGTGACTTGGTGATGGGAAACCCATGGGGATTACAATTGAGATGGGGGGGGGGGGAAATGTACAAAATGATGTAAAAATAAACTGTTATAAAATAAAAAAATTTTAATACAAGGAGGAAGACAATTAAAATATATATATATGTGCCCATTTGGTGATGGGAAGCCCACAGGGATTATAGCTGAGATGAAAAAAATGCACAAAATGTAGTAAAAATAAACTATTATATTATTAAAAAGTAAAAATATATAAAGAGGAAAAAAAAATATGTGCCCTTCTATGAAGAACAGCAGCCAGTGCAACATGAGTTTGATCCCCAGCCAGGGAGCTGACCCACATGGTACAGCAGACCTCTCCTGTCTCCTGCTGCTCCCGTCAGCAGGGTACTTCAGTTGATCTGCTTGTTCTGCGTTCCACTTGTCACTGGTGAATCTTCTGACCACCACCACCGCCACCTCAGAACTACACCCTGGGTTTTGAATGCATAAAGAAATAAATATTAATGCAGTTACTATATGCCAAAACACTGTCTTAATGACTTTACGTATAGCATCTAATCTTTAAATCAACATTTAAAACCAATGGTATTACACCTACTTCACAGATGAGAGACACTAAATCTCAGAGTAGAAAGTAAAGGTGCTGAAACCAAGCCAGGAACCCAGGTCTGATGACACTAGAACCCCAACATTAATGATGATGTTTGGGGAGAGAAGCCATTTTTCCATGGCATTTGGAAATGCAGGACAGTGCCTGCATGTATCTTATTTTACATTTACCTGTGTACATAAGATGGAGCCTTAATCTACACGCAGACAGCTAAGCTATTTGTTTTCTATAATGATCTGTGCTCCTCTCTCTTTGAATGGCTCCATCGCTTGAGTAACCCTTCTGTCTTTTAGACATTCTGCCCTTTCCCTTACCATTCTGCCTAACCATGCCAAACCAATTGCTGACCTGGGGTTGCCACTTCACTTGGGGAGAGAGGTATTACAGAACACTCTATAAAGCAGTCTTTTTTCAGACTGTCAACTGGGAAATGAATGAAAAGAAAGTCCCTCTTCTTGAGAATAAATCCAAAACCTCTCCATCATCTATCTCCCTTTGCCACCTGGAGAAGGGAGACTCAGCCTTTTCCTACTACAACCCCCTTCTTCCTATACTCTGTAGAGTCTCCCTTTCCCTCTTCCTGCCTTTTCTGTACTTTCTCTATTTCCTAGTATACTCCTTCCCAAAATGGAATTTGCCTTCCCCTTTCCCTAAGGCTAACTGGAGAATGGCTGCTAGGTAACCTGATTTATAGGGAGAGGAATGAAAACACATCTGTTTAATATTTTCAAATTATTACCCCTGCTACCCCTGCATCTCAGAAGGTAATCAGGGATCTCTGGAGCTCTCTCGGTCCCTTTACAGTCATGTTGCTCAGAGCAGTCCTAGAGAAAGATTTACAAGGGTGCTTCAGATATCCCCTTCACCTGACTCACTAACCCCCTCCCACCTTAAGCCCATCAACCCAAATTCTTGGCCATAATCTCCTCCTTCACAAGCAACCTGGAAACAGTGGGAGTATTCTCTCTGCAAAACTAGTTGGTATAATTAGTGAACTATACACTCAAGTTCTGACTAATTTAGTCCCATGATAATCCCAATTATGTCTCACATATTACTTTAATATGGGGTCTTAGAAACGTAAGCTGTATGAAAGAACCCAAAATACAAAAGCATGCTCTGAAAACACTTAAGATTTGATTTGTAGACTGTGCTTTTAAACTTCAGACTGTCCCCAATGAAATAGGGAAGTCTTTGTGAGGAACAAATAGTAAGAAAATTGATATTTATGGGTCAAGCAGCAGAAATAGTAAGAGGAAGCGTGGATCTTTGCAGCAGTGGCTATGTTCTTATGCCCCTTTAGCTCATTGTGCAACTTGAGGCTTGGTTGTGTTTCTTGTACTTGGACACATTTATCTGAGTAGCTCATAAGTCTTGGTCAGAACTGTATTCTTAGTAAATGAACACAAATTGTCACTGAAGTTGAGACATGGACCAAGGAATCAACTTATGCACTGTGAATTCATTGGAGAAGCTGAAAATAAAATTATTAAAATAAAGCCTGAAAGGAAAATGTAAAATAGGGGTGGAGGGAAATGCCCCTTCGTTTGAGATTATCATTACCATCTGGGTTGTAAACCATTGGATTCTAATTCCAGGAGCTTGATGCCAGAAATAATTTATTACCAGGGAGATAAGCTGAGAATTGTCAGGAATGACAAGGTTTTCACTTGTTTTTAATATCCTTATCAGAAACATGATACTGCTGATAAACCATACAATGATGGGAGATGGGACAATCAGACATTTTAGCAATTTCTGCTACATGTATTTATGTTGTATATACTATACCCCCATTTCTCCTTCCTTTCCCACTCCATAAAATGCCAAAGTCAATTTTGATAAGCAGAGAATCCTTTAAATTATCTTCCTTCTCTAGAGGGAAATACTGGCCACATCTGGGGTCTGTCTGTTAAGAATTATAATCTAATCTGTAAACTTTGCATAGTCCCAGCAGTTTTGTTCACAGCTATCTTTTCACTGTGGTCATGTGGAGAATGCATATAAAGTACTTGATTCTTACCTTGATCTATACTATTTATTGAGTTGACATTAAATTCACATCACTACTGTCCAGTCCCATTGATGAAAGCATGTCATTTTGAAGCTGCAGCACACCACCTCATAAAGATGTGACCTTGAGCAAGTTAATATTCCTAGTCTACTCATCTTAAAATAGGATGACTATCATGGTACCTGTTTCATAGTTAATGTATTTGAAAATGATGTTGCAATGATATAGAATTGTTTGAATGCGGAGAGCTTCCGACTACTAAATTGAGTGTTCACGAGTACAATTCAAATGAAGCTAAAATAAATGGCAAAGAATTAATTATATGTATCAGGAGACCGTATAAGAATTTGAATTTTGTGGGTCTTGGGTAACCATACGTTCTAATGGTGGTTATCTATTTTAAAAACATGTCTGGAGAGTCTTTCGTGTAGAAAATCTTTTGATTTGCTCTCTTTAATTTTCACATTATTAAAGACGATACCCATTAAAAGGAAATAGAAGCTTCTTAAATTTTCAGATTTTGGGCTGCTTCTGGTGAAGAGGACACTAGAAATTGTGACTTAATCTGCTATTTTCTAGAAGATCATAATCTTTTAAGTTTTTGTGTGTGTGTGCTTTTTTTTTTTTTCTTTTTGAAACCGGTCCAAGTTTAATTTGAATGGCGTAAAGATTTGGTATGAAGGAGTTAAAGGGTCTCCCACACCCCTTTGCCTGAATCCTTCTTTTGTGTACACAGCTGCAGTTAGAGCACGGGTCGGAAAGGAAATGGTTAGAGGAAGAGCTGGTTTTCAGACAGGGCGAGTCTGCGAGGGGGGTTGGGGGTGGCCTGGGGTTTTACATGCCAGATGTAGGCCTGCCCCGTGCCTGCCTGAAGCTGCTGGCTTGGTCAGCCACGGCCCAGCGCGAATTGAGGCGAGGTGATGAGTTAGCGGGTTGCTATGGTGACGGGACGGGCCATGTGACCAGGGTGCTGCTGCCGGCGCTTTGACGTCGGCAGCCAGGAGGGCGGGACGCAAGAGGGCGGGGCGGGAGCCGGGGCTGCGAGAAGGGAGCGGGCGAGCGAGCAGGCGGCAGGCACAGTCTGCGCGAGGAGCAGGCGAGCGGGAAGACAAGACGCAGCCACCTTCCTCACCAGCCAGCCCACAGCGGTTTGTCCCCTTCCACGGGAGTGCGCCAATGCCTGGTCCGACCCAAACCCTGTCCCCAAATGGAGAGAACAACAACGACATCATCCAAGATAACGGGACCATCATTCCTTTCCGGAAGCACACAGTGCGCGGGGAGCGTTCCTACAGGTAATGGGGCTGGCACCGGGAGCGGCCCGGGCGGGGACCACGGCGGGGGCGCGCGGAAATCCGGCCCATTATATAATGGAGCAGACACTACCCCTGGTCGGGCTGCAGACGTGCGTTGTAAAGGCGGTTGTGATTATTGGGTATCTGTTTCCATGTGTCTTGTTGGGTATGCATTGGGGCTTCACGATTGCAGATGGAAAGCATTTTGTGAATAGGTTTGCTGCCTGCAAGGGGTCTCCCTCCATCGCTTTCCTTCCACATTAATAAAAATACATACAATTTCCCTCCCCTCTCCAAAGAGAGACAGGCTGTAGCACTTCCTTTCTGCCTTCCCTTTTAGATTATAAGGGAACCATTAGGTAGCTGTGCTTAAAGGCTGAGAACTGGAGGAAGGCGAGAAAAAATGTTTGCGCTTGCCCTGGTGTGTGCAGGAAAGATGGAATCCTCTAGATTAAGCTGCAGTCTGTGATGTTAAGCCGCCAGATTGATGGAGCTTTGTAAGAATTCTGTTCGCTGATTGGTGCAAGGATTGACAGCAGAGGTCACCATGTCAGGCATTCACCAAAATTTTCACCATAGAACCCAAGGTTTATTAGAAAGAAATTGGGCTGTGTTAGACCTGAAAAAAAAAATGGGTGCCTTTATGCATTTTATAGGAATTTATGGCCTCCGCATGGGTGGGGGAGCCCATCCTCCTTATTTATAGTAGGAAGGTAATTCCTGGTATTTTGCTGAGTTTGATTTGAGGATGGAACTGATCTTGGTGATTGTATTGTGAGCCTTTTGATTAATGAGTTGGCCTATACAGTTGGCATCATTTTTACATTAGCATATCTGGCAATATGTTCTAGTAGATAAGCTCATTAAAATTGTTTGCATTGTTTGATAAGGATAACAATGTAATGGAGAATGCAGATAGTCTAATGCAGCAGAAGGCCAGACTTGAAGGGAGACTGATAGCTTTGCTAGTATTTCCTCTGAAGTTCTTTTGTACGGGTAGTTATTTTTAAATATTACCTTGATAACCACTAACAATGCTTTTGCTTTAAAGCAGAACACACATACCTCAAAAGTACATCCTCTCAGCTAGTGAGTAACAGGAAATAACTTTTTTTACCCTTCATCTAAGCATTTAGTATTCAGTATCTAAACATTGGTATTATAGATAGAACATGCTGTGTGTGTAATTGTTACATAATAGGACAAAAAGTACCCCCCTTTCTCTCTCTTTGATCAAAGAAATGTACTATTTGATGTCTCAGAAAATTACATATATATGTATACACACACTCACACTCACACAACCTTTGCCCTGTCATCTCTGGCAGTTATATAAATACTTGGAGTTAATTTTGGCTGTGCCCATGAGGTCACCAAAATCTCACGCCTTATGATTTCAACTAATGTGTTGACATGTCATCCTTACAGATTCCAATGCTTGTTATTTATTTAATATAGACCAAAATTGGTCCATAGCTTCTGGGACTCTCCTTTTGGAGACTGTTGTAATTGGAAAGTTCCTTACCCCACCTTTCTCTGTGAACATTCCAAAGTCTAAAATAGAATTTAAAACTACAAACAAAAACTCAGAGTTACTTTTAACCTCACTCATTTAAGTTCTTAAAGGTAATAAATGTGAAGCACTCATTTCCTATATGAGTTAATCCCTACCTTGTAGGTAGCAATTGCTTTTAAGATGGAGTTCAAATTTTACCACATGAGCCAAAGGAAGTTACCTAGTTGGGTTTTATTACTCATATGAACTAACTTGAAATGGCAATGGAAAAAACTTGGCAGGAAGGTTAAATGCTGCCTTTCAGTGATAAATTATTGCTTTAAAAATAACATTTACTTTTTTCATTCAATCCAAGTTGTTATTTTCATTTATTGCGTTATTACCAGTTTACTTTCTGAATCCCTGTAGTGGTCCCTAAAGTCAGGTACCTTACAAAAAAATCTGAATTTTATTAAAGGTCTAACCAAACTCTTCAGTCACTAGGAGCATCATTGCACTCCTATTTGGTGTAACAGGATTATTGGAGTGACCAATAACCTGCGATCAAAAGCCGTAGGTTAAATGAAGAAAATCTCCAAAATTGCAGTGTATTGTATTTTCAAAGCATCTGCATGGACACAGACACTCTGGATGTTTTCCTTCTTCTGCTTTTCTTTCAAAGTGGATGATCACTGTAGTATAACTACCACTTATTTTGTGAAGGACATAGGGGAAAGAAAAAGGACACATTTCTCTATCCAGGAAGTGTTCCAGAATTACCTTGGCACCCTGGGGCTGGAATAAGATTGCCAATCAGTTGCTCAAGAAAACTGGAAGATAGAGTAGAAATTTAACCAAACACAAGCTTTGCTTTAGCTGTAGGTTCAGTATCACTCTCAATAATGAGATGTGCTTGAGAGTTCTGTTCGAGGGTTTTTGGAGGGCCTGAGTAAGCCTAGAATCCAGGGAAGTGCAGAGAGAAAGCTCCTCTGAGCTCCATCACTAGTCGACTTCTAAGTTAGGCCAGCAAGTCCGTTACGTTTTGGCTTCATTTTCTATATTTACTCCATACATATAACAGCATCTCATTGGTGTTCCTATAAAGGTTTTATGAGGTTAATTTTAAACATTTAAAACAAAAAAATTCCTAAAAGAAAACAACTATGTAAATATAGGAATGCTGTTGTGAAAAGGGACTCTTAGGACTCCCAGACTATAACTCACCTGGCTAGCAGCACAGACAAGAAGAGAGGACACCTGGAACACAAGGCCTAGTTCTCTGGCCCTGTCAGTGAGTGGACATACTGCTCCCAGCAGGAGACATTGTTATTGTAATATTTGCACCAGATTGTTTATAAATAAGAATCAAATATGGTTCATGACCCAGATATCTTGACTCTGTCAGATGTCTCTCTGTAAATGGAGCCCATTTTTGTAGCCTGGACTAGGGTGGTTGGTAAATCATTATTGAAACCATTGTGCACTTTGATTAGGAGAGCAAGTTTCCGTTAGAAAATTACCCGATGTTAGTGATTTCAGTTGAGAAGAGCAAGTGCAGAATGGCTCAGGAGAGTTGTGTAGCCATGTTTCTGCAGCTCATGGCCATGACTGTGATGGCCTGCTCAGCCCCAGCTTCCTCATCACATTTATGAGCACTAGAAATCCAGAGGTTTTAGAGCTGCTTAAAAAATAAATGTGGTGTGGGCCATCTGAGGTGACACTGTTTAATTCACAGAGCGGACAAGTCGTGCTCTGGCTTTCCCTGGAGAGGCTACTCCCTACCACTCCATTCCATGCAGATGCTAGTAGGAAATAAGATTTATTAACTGGCCCTTTGCCCACCGCATCTTTGTTTGCATACTCCAGGCTTTTGAGAATGAATGTATAAGTCCAGGGGACACTTTCCACATGGGTGTTTGAACTTGCAATTACAGTAGCATATGTTTCAGAAGACTTCAAAAAAAATTACTTGGTCCCAGAAAGACAAAACCAAAATTTAAGCCCAAAACATTGGCTCTGACATCCCACTTTGCCAATTTCAAAAAAGAAATTCTTAAGGAAAAAACAAAAAGCAACATTGTGTTTGTATGAATAAAAGATGGAATTGTGGAAAACCTGTACCGTTTACTAGAAGCTTTTGGCGCACTTTTTACCAGAATGTGGATTTCAGATTACATTTCCCAAAACAGCTTTACATGCCATATCGGTTTCATTTTATAACTGTCATAAGAGGTTTTCAAAAATAGTGATATTTGTCTTAAAAAATTTTTTAGTATTATTAAAAAAAATCAAAAGATGACTTGATGCTTTAATTACTAAGCATCCAATTTTGGAAATTCTTTTCAGGTTCTTTATCAGAGCTTCTGTTAAGAGGATGGTCTCCTGGGTGCTTGCCTTTGGCAGGAGGCTTTCCTTTGCTCCGTAAAGGTTATCACCAGTTATATCTATTGTCAAGCAGAACAGTGGTTTGAGTTGGTCATCTGAAATTAGGAGACTGATTTCGTCCTAAACTCCCTCCTATATGCCCTGTGGTTTCTATATTATTGGGATCTCTTGAAGCTGCAACAAATCATCACTTTTATTAACGAAAGAAGAAATACTGGGGCTAGTTGAAATACTCCACTTGGTTTAGAGAGTTAATTCAACAAATATTTGTAAATCTAGTCTTGTCACGGTCTCTGCTGGATGCCCCTGCAAGGCTGCTAGGTTCTAGGAAAGTCAAATATGGCAGTTGATTTTTGCAACAGAGTCACCTAGTGAATATTGACTTGATAAAACAAGTGGTTTGCATTTCCTTAGCCCACAGTGAGTGACTCACAAGTAGGAAAAATTATCTTCAAGGCCAGAATCCTGGAGGACACTAAAAGGTACTAAGACCAGAATTTTTGGTGAGAAGAGTGTATGCTTTGGAATCAAATTTCATGGCCCTGGCAAGGTACAGGTTGGGCAGTAGTGGGAAGGACAGCAACACTGAAAGGCAAGCAGGACCATCAGAAATGCAAAGCCACTGAGAGCTCATTCGTTGAACAGCAGCATAATGAAAGCAAAAGTACATTCTGGAATTATCTCCTGTTTTGAAATAGGAGTTGAAAGCGAAGTGGAGTCTTCCAGTGCTGCACCCTGCAGTGTCCAGAATTACTAGAGAATCCTTATTTCCCAATGAGAGAACTCTCAAGACATAATATAGGGATCAGGACAAGGTAGAACCATAGTCTTGGCTCAAACATCTTTCTTCTCATATATGGAATCCACTCAGCTTCACCCCACAGCATGATTGTACTCGAGGCAGACAGAGGCTTCTGTGCTTGCATATGTCCACTGCACAGAGTGTAACTCTTAAGGTGTGGCTAGTATCAAGAGCTTATGCTATATTCGTGCCCTCCCAAATTTGGAAGCAGGATATCCAGTACTAAATTGTGATCTCGAGTCATTTAACGCCATAAAACTACGCAGACAGGACTGATGAAACTGCATAGAACACCCTCTGTGCCTGTGGTACCAATTC